GATCATCTATAATTTTTTATTGTTTTATACAAATGACATTTATTTTTAAATAATATTTCTATTATGTTCAGCCATGCATAGTATTTTCTTTCTTTTTTATTCGATTAATTTCATGTGTGTTTATATTTCTGTTATTTTTTATTGATTTTAAAAAACAAAATTAGTAAATATAATCGAGTAAATGTATCGTTTTGCAAGTTTAAATATCTTGATTTATATCTATCTTGTAATTTTCTAGATTTCTCTTTTAGTTATTGTTAACAATATGTTTTTATTTATTTACATAGATAGTTATTAATTCATTTAATTAGATGCTTGCATAAATCTTTTGGTTTATATTTTGAATTTTTTATATAATAAACATATCAAAATAGATTGTATATTTGTTTTTTTTTAAAAAAATTATAACCCACTGTAGAATACTGGTTATATAACTAGTTATAATATAATTTTAGGCTCTAGAAATCTAATCTGCAGAATAACTTTTCTGGGCTTTCCTCTCGTCTGCTTTCCCACTTCTCTGAATTCTATTAGCTTTAACCTAGCTAAATCGCATAGGATTTGTATCTTCTTTTCGCCCTTTTAAGATGTCTTTATCTTAATGAACTACCCTTATCCATGAAGCAGACAACAACCAGAATAGAATATTTAATTAAAGGCTCAGAAGTTTCATTGTTGTATATATACACTGACGCACGACCAAAACACAGGATTTCTATGTTTAATTTTATCTTTGAAGTCTTCGATTTTCACATTCTTGTTTCCTATCGTTTTCAGTTCTGGCATTTCCATCCTCAAACTACTTGTTTACTGTGACTTAGTACTTGGTGTTGAGACATAGAAAAGAAAGTCGTTTACGAGAAAGATTATGGCCAGCCATGAAAACATTAATTTTGATGTTAATGAATTTATTTACAAAAAAATTAATAAAAATTACTCGGTTGTTAAATCATAGTGGAAAAAAAATCTATTTTCAAACTAATTTGTAGTCTATAAAATTTATTTAGGTTCAATTTAATTTTGAGTTTTGAGATTGGTTAGAGGGTATTTTGAAATTTAAGAAGTGGTTAATAAGGTTTTAAAGATATGTTTAAGTATTTTTAAATAAAAATAAATGTAAATTGAAATTTTAAGATACAAAATATATAACCCTAATTTTTCACGACCAAAGATGGCCAGAAGATGTTGTCATCTATCTAGATAAACGAATCTGTTTATTTGTTGAAAAAACAAAATCTCAAGCAAGTGACATTGTCCGCTTGAGATAAAAAACAATAGACTTTCCTTGGGCTTTTTTCTCTTCGACATTAGGTGGGTGGGCCTAAACTTAACTTTATTGAACCTTCTATTTTCTATTTATTTTCAATAATATAACATAAAACTTTTTCAAAAAAAATAATTATAATGTTATTTTAAAAATTATAAGTTAATAGAATACTTTTAAGAAAAGATTACAAGTTCTTAATGTTAAAGGTAATGTGAGCAGTTATTTTATAAATAACTATAAATGAAACAAGTGTGTGTAATGTTTTTTTTTTTTTTAAATTATCATGAATATTCAATAAGAATGAAATATTTATTTTTTTATTTTATGTTTTTATATATTAAAATGATATTTATTTTTTATTTTTTATAAATTATTTTTAAAATCAATACATCAAAACAATTCAAAAATATAAAAAAATAATTTTTAATAAAATATTTAAATTTTAAAAAAATATAGTTTTAACTGCATTTTCAAACATGTACGTGAAAGTATATATTGCCAAGGGGTTACAGGAATTCACAATGCAATTATGAAGTATATAAACCGTGTTTACAAACGGAGGGTTAGAAGTATAGGATTGCCATGGGACTAGAAGAATTCACAATGCAATTATGAAGCATATACTGTTGTCAATAAGTCAATAGAAACTTCTCCTAATCCCCCACCTAGAAAAAACAGCCCTAGCTGTTCGCTTCTTGCATCTTATTAATTTCATTGAGAGAAACAAATGAACACATACACCTAAGTGTTAAGTGTGAATATGTATGTCATTATAGTTTAAAATATTTTTTATTTAAAAATATATTAAAATAATATTTTTTATTTTTAAAAAATTATTTTTAATATTAACATATTAAAATGATCTAAAATTATATATAAAAAAATTTAATTTTTTTTTTAAAATACAAATCACACCATATTCCCAAACAGGTAGTGTGTATGCATGTCTCCATCTGTTAGTGGACTTGGATGGTAAATAAAGTGGAGATAACTTATTTCTCATTGGAAATCTCCGATGGAAGACAAAAATCAATGGTTAATTTGAAGTTGAAGTTTTGTAATGAATTACAATTCTCTTCATGATCTTTTTTTTTTAATTAATATGAGTGTTCAGATCAATTTGTACATACCACAATTAATCCTATGAGTCTTAAAATTAACAATTATGTAAACTTCTAGTGACCATCATATCTTCAGGATCTTTGATTAGCTAGGAAGTAAACACTCTAATCCCGTCAAGTTGTATCATACAAAAAATATTAACAGAATAATTTCACTCTGTAACATAATAATTATATAAAATTGTAAAATATAATTTAAAATTATTTTTAAATTTAATTTAATAACTTAAATTATTATATTAAATTAACTCTTTAATATTATATCAGAAACTTATTAATGAAACGCTAACATGTTTAAATTTTATTATTTTTATTTTATTTCATGAAAAAGTAAAAGTTTACATTTGATGATATTTATTAAATAATTATATAAATCGTATTTTAGGATTTGATTCTTTAACAAAATACCATATAATATAATCTACACAAATGATCGTATCATTGAACCAAAAAATCCTCAATTACAAACTTATTCTCAAACTAAATAATCTGCATTATGGTAGTAGTTGTTAGTTACAAATTAAGTTGGGTAGTTGGGTGTTTATACTGGTTAGTAACAGCTAATTAGGCAGGCAATACCTGTTCGCAATGCAATCAAATTAATGACGAAAGGGAGCATCCATGATCCATAATTAATTTCTATTGAGATATGCGTTTTGGCAGAAGCTGCTTAGTATTTCAGCAGCATTAACAAACCTACACGGATTTGGCAGAACGAGTTGATTTGCCAGAGATTGCAATGATAATATAAGTGAAATTAAACTAATAAATTAAGTCAACTTTGATAACCATGTCTTACCATTACCTGTCCATTTTTTTTACCTCCCAAAAACAAAAGAAAAAAGAATGATGCGTTTTGGAGATAGACTTCATTTTGCAAAGAGATTAACGCGGGCGGAGCTATGAATTTTTTTATTTTTTAGGTTATTAAATAAATATATAATTTTTTAAAAATTAATTTTAAAATCATATATATAAATTCTTGAAATTAGCAGTAAAATTATAATTTAAATATACTACTTAAAATATTAAAAAAATTAAAAATATATAAAATAAAAATATTAACCAGATTTTTTTAATATATTTTAAGATCCTTGTAAAATTTCATCTCATTTTAATTATTGAATTAAAAATTTACTCAATAAAGTAAGCTTGTAAAATTTCATCTCATTTTAATTATTAAATTGAAAATTTGCTCAATAAAGTAAGGTTATCAATTATGATTTTTTATTAAATTTCTAAATTTCTCTAAAAATTCTAAAATTTTAACCTAATCTAAAACTAACCTAAAACATCACATTAGAAAGTTCCATATAATTTTTTTATAAAATTTAATAATTCAATCAAATTCTAAAATTTTAACCTAATCTAAAACATCACATTAGAAAGTTTTATATAAATTTTTTAAAAATTTTAATAATTCAATAAAAAATTATAAATTTTTTATATAAATTTAATTAAAAAATATTAATAAAATCTGATATAAGCAGTTGAAGCCTTTATAAAATTAATTAAAAAAATATTAATAAAATCTTTACATGAGATATAACCAGCTGAAGCCTTCTAACACTTGCTTCCGCCCTTGTCGGTAACCCTCTTCCAATAAAAAGAAATTTAGTCAACTAAGCATTCAATATTCTCAAGTATTGCATCATCATCTATCACTTCCTGATGCATTTATTTTCCTGAAGTTGATGCTTTATCGTGGAGTAACTCGTTTCTCTGTCCTCTGAAATTTCCCTGAAGCAACCAAGCTCACTTTACTAACACACAATTCCATTTCTCCTATGCTACTTCCTCTTCGCCATAATGAATTCCTTGGTTTTTCCGTTATCTCCTTTTCTTTCAGTTTCTGTTATTGTATTGTTGCTATTCATTCGAATTCCTTCATCACTAAGCAACAACGACCTGTTCAGTGACTGTAGTAATCAGTTTGTGTGTGGCAATATTACCGCAGACTTTCCCTTTTGGGGAAGTGCCAGACCTTCTTCATGTGGCATTCCTGAATTGGAACTCAAGTGTGAGAATAATATCACCAAGATGAATATTAACGAGGTTAGATACCGTGTTTTGGACATCAAACAGGATACTGAAATTCTCAGGATTGCAAGAGAGGACAGCTTGGTTGGATTGTGTCCGCCTCAATTTGTGAACAGCACGTTCGATCCTATGGTGTTTGAGTCTGTTACTGGTTACATGAATTTTACCTTTTTTTATGGTTGTCTGCCTTTTGCTTTAAATGGCCCTGCACTATTCACTTGCAGAATCAATGGGGTTAATTATCAAAGTGGTTTTGTGCTACCAAAAGCTAATGGTCCTGGGGCTTGTTACAGCAGCGTCTTTTTTCCAGCTCCTGTAATAGCTTTGCCATCAATTCTGGATTTGCCAGTTTTCAAACGATACCTGAAAGAAGGTTTTGAGGTAAGATGGAAGGTTGATAGCACAGCATGTAGAGAGTGCTTAAGGTCTGCAGGAGTTTGTGGTTATGACAGTACTTCTAATGAAACAATTTGTTACTGGCCAAATCAATCTAGAGGATCAAATACATATGCTCCAACCAGTTCAACACCCACTGCTGCTCCTGTTTCAGGTATGTACCTTAGCTATGGCTGGGATCAGTATACGAACTCAAGCCAATGCTAGATGCTTCACGTCTTAGTTCCTTTCCTGTCTTATTCATTTAAATTTTGTCTTAACTATACTTGGACAGAAGTAAACACTGATATGACCATTTTTTTCCCAGAACAACTTGTCTAGTCCACTAGCTAGGGAGGCTCAAACTTCAGAACTAGACCGTGGTAATAACCGTAGTAATAAGGGATATAGCTTTCCAGTTACATAATGGTCATACCACAATAAATCGAGGCCAGTGGTGTCAATATGATACCAAGTAGTCATAGGAAGTTTTGATAACAGGTTCTGCAGAAGATTAGGATGACAACGAAAATTGTATGATTTTTTGTTTAAATCTTGGTCATAGCTAAGAATTTTACTAAATCTTAACAAGGAAAAGCTAAAGACATCCAAGATAAACTCATCATATCAGTGACGATCTCGCCAATGTTCTCATAACAAAGATGACCTTGTCTGCTTTTAGGATTTGTTGCTCTTGTGTAGACACTGTTCACATGGTTACATATGAACCATGGAAACAAATTAAGGGCAGCTGCACCTTTCCTCTGTCGCTGTTGTGTAAATTCAGTTCATCATATTCCGTTTCTGTATTGCTGAAGTCTTTAGATGTAGCAGAACAAACGTGATTATTAATTACAGGAAATTTACAAGCGGATCCAAAAATTGAGTTCATATCATAGACTTCATGTTCTTGCCGATAATATCATTTTTGGTTGTTAAATGTTCAGTGTTCTTTTTCCTTGTACAATGTAGTCTAACAACTCAAACTTAAAATCCAAACCCAAATTCTCACCTCTTGTTTCCGTCTGGTCTTGCCTTTGTTGGTATATATGACAGTTATTCTGAAACATTGACAGCTTTTACTCTAGGAACTTGAACCTAGAATATCATAAGATCACAGCATCTTTATTTTTATCTGCATACCTTACTTTTAGTCCTTGCTTTGTCTGCTATAATGTTTGTTATGCTCAGACCTGTCAGGACAGAGAATATCATAACATCCCAAGATCTTTGTTTTTATCCGCATACCTACTTTTATTCCTTGTTTTGTCTGCTATACTGTTTGTTATGCTCATGCTTGTCAGGACAGATAGCTCAGTCTCCCGGAAATTAGTTGGAGGAAAATTTATCTTTTTATTTTTTGGTTTAGTCAACCTTGTAAACCAAAATGAATAAGAAAGTGTGTCTCGGTTTGAGTTTGTCGCAGGCCGTAGCACAGCAAGTACAAATGCTATATCAGACCTGAAACTAGGAAAATTCTACAAGGCCACAGAATTTTCGATCAGGATACCAATTATACATTAAAAATTATTTTATCTTGCTACGAAAATGACCTGCCTGTTTGGTTGGCTACCTAAATTTCAATTGATGCCACTCTTATCGCTCTAATTGAAGCTTCTCGTTGAAAATTCTCATTCCCCTTTGGTCAAATACTCGCTACCAATTCTATTATAATAGTTGAGTGAGATAACTTCCATCTATTTTTGTTTTTCCCCTTAACTCAATACTTGATGAACAGTCTTTCCTTTCAATCCTCTCTTCGTGAAAATGCGACCACATCTCCTTCTGGCCATGTCTTGGTTTATCCTGTTCATAACCATAATCTTTGTCTGTGGTTTCACACTTGTGTTTTCTGCAGATGATGAGCGGTATCTAATCTGCAGAAACTTGTTTGATTGCGGAAATATTAAGGGTATTGGTTATCCTTTCTCGGGATCCAATAGGCCTGATTACTGTGGCTATCCAGGGTTCGAGATCAATTGCAGCAACCAAGTTCCGGAGATCACAATCACTCAATCGACATACAAAGTCCTTGTTATCAATAATCAGTCACGGACTCTTAACGTTGCTAGAACAGATTACAGAGAAAATCTCTGTCCTACTCTCCTACTCAACACAACTTTGAATCCCAATCTTTTGAATTACACAACGGATGATCATAACATAACAATCTACTATGGTTGCCCCGCTCAAGGTCCACCAACTTCCTATCTCTTAACTCAGTTTCCATGCAGCATAAACAGCATTGAGATGACGGGCTACTTTACAGCAACAGACGACTTCTCTTTCCTTGGTAACCTTGCTTCTAACTTAATCCGTTACCTGGAATCCTGCGACAACAGTGTTAAAGTTCAAGTACGTCAATCAGCTCTTGAGCCAATTATAGAAAATGCAACTGTAGCAAAGTTGCTTGGAGCTCTTAATCAAGGTTTTGGGCTGGAGTGGAATGCAAATGATACCTTATGTGATGCATGCAATTCTTCTGGTGGTCAGTGTGGGTACGACCAGAGAACTAAAGCATTCGCTTGCAATTGTGCCGATCAACCTCGAGATTTTAATTGCCTACCATCACCACCTAGACAGTCAACAAGTACATCCTCTTTCCAGTTTCTTTCCTTGATGGCATAATAGGATAAATAGAGATAGCTCAAAAGTAGGAGGATCTTTGGTAATAGAAACAGGCGTGAAACATTCCTTTGAGTAGAGTTAGAAGCCTAGCCAACTATTAGGAATTACTCGTCATTCCCACTGGTCTAGGTTTTTCGTTCAGTAAACTTCGATTAGTCCAGATTCTTCCTTTAACTGGTCCAGGATTTTTGTTTAGTAAACTTCAATTAGTCCAGGTTCCTCCTTCAACTAGTCCAGGTTTCTTGTTTTCTGAAATGCAACTAGCCATCCCACTCTTCTAATCAATCAAGGAATATATTCATCTTTGCAGATATTTGCAAGTTCTACTACAGTTTTCAAGTCTGGTCAGGTTTTAGCTTTCCATATTTTCATCTTTGGTAATTTATGAGTTTGATAGCTTTCAAGTAAATTCTCCAATGAATTCAAGAATTTGATGCTTGAATTACTTTCAAAGGCTCAAAATTAGGATTCTTTTTTTCAGTCTTGTGTTTACTCTGGCCCTTTAGAGCTCCATCGGGTGATGGTTTGAGTACACAAAAGAATTCTACACCTTGTTCATGGAATTTTAATTAAATCTCGGTTAATCTCTGAGAGTGTTTGTCCATGCCTGCTTCTTTAGTAGTTGAGTTTATTGCTTGGAAAAACTGAACAGTTCAATTACTCATGGTTTGTTTCCCCTGTTTTCTCTGTTTTTTCCATGTCTTCTTCGCCATTTTCTAAACCCCTATTATTAAAACTGGCATTGTTCATGGGTGGGACCTAGCTGACCCGGATTTAGGGTAACTATGTGACTCCGTACTTTTCCCGGATAGAGTTTGATAACTATGTTCTCAATTGTGAACCTGCTTCCTTTTAATGTTGTCTATGATCTGAATGAATTCCTGAATTATTTTTGTATTCAACAAATAAAAACTCAGATAGCCAATATCATATATTAGAAGTTAGTCCAATTTATCGTGCTTATTAACCAAGTGCCTACAGCCTACTGAAAATTTGTTTCAATGTGATCATTAATGTTTCAACTGACGTTTCTCGCTTTCATTTTTTTCGCAGAGGAGACCTCTAACCAAGATTCACTTAAAATAGGTAGAGTTCTGCTACACACACATTAAAAAAAGAAAAACAAAAAGCTGAGCAGTTTTTTTTTCCTACTTCCAGGACTTGGCATAGCAGGTACTGTTGTCGGTGTCTTTTTGGGATGCTGGATCATGACCATTATACAACGGAAGAGAAGAAAAGCTGCCCTACTGAAAAGCAAAGACCTTCCTATAGCAGCTACTCCTTTAAGCAAAGGCCTTGCTACTTCAACTAATCTCTCTCAAACCACCCCTTCTCTTACCCCCTCAAAGTCTGACATTGATAAGGGCAGTACCTACTTTGGAGTGCGGGTGTTCAGCTACAATGAACTTGAGGAAGCCACTAATTGTTTTGATTCTTCAAAAGAACTTGGAGATGGAGGGTTTGGCACTGTTTACTATGGTTAGAAGATGAAATTATTTTATTTTGGAGTATAGTAACTTTGCATATGTTAACTTCTTTTTTGACTCCTTTCTAAAGTTTTAATGTAATTGCATGAATGATCAGGAGTACTCAGGGATGGGCGTGTGGTTGCTGTCAAGCGCCTATATGAGAGCAGCATGAGACGTGCTGAGCAGTTTATGAATGAAATTGAGATCCTAGCTCATTTGCGCCACAAGAACCTGGTGGAACTCTATGGATGCACCTCAAGGCATAGCCGAGAGCTTCTACTTGTTTATGAATACATGCCTAATGGAACTGTCGCTGATCATCTTCATGGAAGACAGTCGAACTCTGGTTTGCTCACTTGGCCTGTTCGGTTGAGCATTGCTATAGAGACAGCCAGTGCACTTGCATACCTCCACGCTTCAGATGTCATACATCGTGATGTCAAAACCAATAACATTCTCCTAGACAACGACTTCCATGTGAAAGTGGCTGATTTTGGTTTGTCGAGATTGTTCCCAACTGATGTTACTCATGTATCGACTGCTCCACAAGGAACACCTGGATATGTTGATCCGGAGTATTATCAATGCTACCAACTGACAGACAAGAGCGACGTTTACAGCTTTGGAGTGGTCTTGATTGAGCTGATATCAGCTTTAGAAGCAGTGGACACCAAGAGGCATCGGCATGATATTAATTTGTCCATCATGGCAGTGAACAAAATCCAAAACCATGCTTTAAATGAGTTGGTTGATCCATTTCTTGGATTTGACAAGGATTTCGTGGTGAGGAAGATGGTAACATCAGTTGCAGAATTAGCTTTCCGGTGTTTGCAACAACAGAGGGAAATGAGGCCTGCTATGGAGGAAGTGTTAGAGATCCTTAGGAGAATTGAGAAAGAAAATTACGGAGCAGAAAAGGCAGATGTATTGGATATTCGTGAGGATGATGTTGGTCTATTGAAGCATCCTCCGCCTCCACTTCAACTTTCACCAGATTCTACGAGTGATCAATTTTGAGCAAGCAGTTCTTCAACTACAACACCGCATTCCTACTAGTTGTAGAGATATCCTTATCCTTTGTGCTTAAAATATGAGTAGAAATTTCAAGTGTTGTACAATCAGTGAGATTGATTTTTACTATCTTCTCTTGGTTGTTATTGTTATATGATGGAATAAATGCATGATTGATATGCTTGTGGACTGACATAGAACTATATATTATGCGGGAATTCGTGATTTTCTATCAGAGGTTAACAGAACTACATTTGTACCAATCCTCTAACGCTAAATAAAGCAATGTTGAAGAAGAAAAGAATAAATCCATCAAGAGAATCAGAACAACATGCTGGAGCTAAATTTCTTCAGGTTGATTAATGTTCCATACTTAATTGTGTGCATTATTATTTGATGCATCATGGGATTAGGGATGAGAGCCCTCTAAGACTTGTATTATTCCAATACAATGAAACTTTTCCCCTTCACCTATAGACGTAAGCATAGCAGAGTCACGTAAAACACTACTTAGTAGATGTGTGATTGTTTTTCTTTAAGCTTGTTATGATTATTCTCTTTATCTAATTGAGGGATCCTTAACACTCATACTGCAAGAAGTGCTGAAAACGTTTTTTCATGTTTCTGATCTTAATGTTATAATGATAATGCCATTTATGGCTTCAAACACAGCTTTGAGACGAGAGAATAGGTTGAAGCAGATGGGTGCAGCGTTCTTACATTGACAGGCTGAAGCTGAATGGCGTTGTCCATGACACTTGTTATTAATTGACTGATAGTTTTCCTTCATTTCTTGTTGATATATCACTTTCCTGTTAATAAAACGATTTGCATTGACAGGAAACTTGGGTAATCAGTTACTGCATGTCTTTCCTTCCTGTGTATTGAATGCCTTCTTCTGTTTCTTTCATATGATATGCCTTGAAAGTGTCGTATTTATATTTATTATTGCTTGTTTCAAGCCATTGTCATTGATTTCCTGTTTGTATTTATTATTGTTTGATTTAAGTCATTGTCATTGATTCCAATTTCCTTGTATCTTCAGTGATAACTAAAACCTTTTTGTTTTTTAAGAATGTTAATGTTTCCTGAAATTATATCTACATTCCTCAATTCAAAAACAACGCCTCGTATAGCATGGATATGATTCTTCGTGGTGTCTCTTGATCCCTCGTAGTGTTCTAGACGGCATTTACTCCTGCGTTGTGGAATGCGATCAATCTACTCGCATACTAATTGATGTAACATATAAAGCTAGGGTTTCTTAATTTCTAAAATTTTATAGCCCTAAATTATAGAGAAAAAAACTAGAATCTCTAAAGTTATAATCCTTAAGCCTAAGTGTAGAGAAAATTGCAGATGAACCTCTTATTTATTTTAAAAACACTTTGTTTCATAAATTATCTTATGAAAAAATTGCTTATAAGATTGTTTACATATAAGAATAATGTCTTATCTGGTAAAATTTTAATTAAATCAAAAGCAGAAATAATTCCAAAAACAATAAGAAAAATTAAAAAAAATCTAAAACAGTAAATTTTACGCCATATTTAAGCCTAAGATCCTAAACTATTGGCATGTTAATAGTTAGATTTTTAGAATGTTCTAATAAAATTTTAGTTTGATCCAACTATAAGATAAAAACAATATGCTCGTTTTCATTAAATTATATGTCAAACTCTTTAAAAACACTTCAAAACCTAAAAAAAAATATTAAAAAAATATAATAATATAATAAAAATTAATTGTGATAATAACAATAAAGATAATGTTGCATGTCTAGAACATTGTAATTAAGGATTCAATGTAATTAAAACCACCACCCGAGGTCTCAGGTCCAGCAATTGATGAACCTAGCAAATGTTTAAACAAGTTTTAAGGGATAAAAGAAGATTTATCAAGGAAGAAAAAAAAGGCAAGAGAAATTTTTAATAATGAACCGAACAAATGTTTGAAGAAGTTTCAAGGGGCAAAGAAGATTTATCACAAAAAAAATATCAAGAGAATTATTTATCTAAAAATACCTTTAATATTGCCTATACATGATAATAACATTACCATTACAAGACATACTAAAACGCCTAGAAAAAACACCATAGCCGAATCCATATTAGCCAAGGTTTTTCCTTTCTATTTTGCCTTTGAACTTTTTATTATTATTATTATTATATTTTTCTATACCCAATTATAAACATTTGTTAAGGAAAGAAAAATTTAACAATTATGGACCAAAGTGTAAAATAAAAAGAAATCTCATGGCCAATCTCAAATTTTCTAGAAAAAGTTATACTTAGTCCCCCACTTTCCTTTTCTTACTCTACAGTCCCTTTAATGTTTACAATTTTAATTTTGATTCTAAAATTTATTTCTTAATATTTCAACCTTTAAGTTTGAGACAAGAGAGAAGAAAATCACTTGAAATGGTGAAGAAAATAGTAAATTAGAAAATAACCACTTTTTCGATGATGAAATTTATTGTTATTGGTGTCAATGTGTTCTATTTAACAAGATAAGTTTGATGGTGGTAATTTTCTCTATATACATGCTCAAAAAAAAATAGATTAGGTTCCATTTAGATTTTTTTTTATTTTGGTTGATTTTTTTAATCAACATTTGACCTTTTCTTTTAATCCATTTACCTCACTTCAAATATCAAAATGTACTTCATTATTATATTCTTTTTCTATTCCAAATTCAACAATACAATGATTACTTGATAAATACACACCAAGATTTTTATATCACTTAAAGATATTCTCTCTTCATGATTTTTTTTTCTTTTATGAAAATACATTATCAATACCAAGAGTTCATACCTAACTTTCAAAGGTTAACAAGAGCGATTTTTGTTATCACAATTTACTAATGACTAAAACAGTCGATCGGTTTTGATGGATCAAGTCAATCTATTATCACATATTAACCTAGATAAATCTTTAGAACTATCTATCTTAGATTTTATCATATGACTTATCAATCCTTCAAAGTATGCATATTGCAGTGTGTAATTTAATTTTAATTATGCTATCAAGTAGGATATAAAGATTTACATCAAACACTTATAATGGATACAAATCGAAGTCTTCCTCTCCTTTCTTCTTTGATTACTTGATTAATTTCTTCATAAAATTCATCATGCTTATTGATATGTTTTTTAATAAACCTGTCTAAAACTTATTCTCAACAATATATATTATTAGTTCATTTTATATTTTATTATTATTGTTAAAATATTAAAAATATAAATATTTGATTTAAAGATCAACAAGAAGCTTTGATTAATATAACAATATTATTTCAAATTTATGTAATTAAGGCTATTCATTTTATTTTTTTAGTTGGATTGAAATGGAGGAGAACTATGGAGAAATCTTTTGTAGAATTTGATGTTTTTGGTTGGCCTGAAATGATCCAAAATTGTTTAGCAATCTATAATAAACATGATTTAATTATTATTATTTTTGTTAAATATAATGAAATTTAAAAAAAATGGTTAAAAACAAGTCAAATAAAGCCCATGATTCAAATTTAAAAAACAATTAAATTACATCAAGATTTAAAAGTATTAACTAATTCTTTTCTAAAATATTCCATGAGAGTGATGTATGGTATGTTAAGTAATTTTAAATTATATATAGTTTATTTTTAACCAAGATATTGTAGAATCACCCTCGATTCCTCAAAACGGTTTCAAAGCCTTGAAACTCAATGACCTTTGAAAGTCTTTACGAAGTCTTGGTAAACCATGGAACAGGATGGATGGTACAACGTAGTCCAGGGGTTAAAACTAGAAAAATCAAAATTGATTGAAAAATTATCTTCTAGGCATTAAGAGAATATTACCAACAAACAAATGACATATATTGAAAAGATGCAAATAAAAATATTTTTTATAAACATTATTTTGACCACAATATTCATTGAAAACAAATTATCATTTACCGACTCAAAACTAAACAACACCAACAATCCACACAATTTTGTTAATGTCACAAATTTATATTTAAATTTCATGCTAATTCAAATAAGTCAACATCAATCCAAACATAAATCATGCATCAATATTTAACGTCCTCAAACACAAACCCAAAAAAATGAACTTATAATTTAATACAAATAATCAAGTTTTATCAAGATCCAAACATAAATCAAACCAAATTAACAATCTAAATATTATACAAAATAATAAGCTTTTTGCTCCAAAATTTCATAATTTATCATTTGTCCAAAAATAGTTTGAGTTCATAAATCAACCTTCTGAAATGATTGAAATGTCTAGGGTATAATGCAATGGACACTACAAGACTGTTGGGACAATCACAATACGTGGATTAATGTGCTGCCACTAGAGGAGCGTGAAGTCATGCTTTGGTGACCCGAACAGATTGAGACACTAGATCAGGTAGATCATCAACCCCTATTGGCTTTTTCCAATAGTGAGGCAAACGAAGATCTAAGAAAGGAGATCCGACCACATTAAGCTTTGGCTCCCTTCTCCTCTCTCTCCTCTTCACGCGACTGCTTTCCTCTCCTAGTCTTGAGAGAGGATGTCTTTGCTGGCATTAATGAAGGTCATAGGCGAGGGGATTGTTGCTGCTGAATAGGGACTTGGTCCTGTCATAGGTGCGATTAACAGAGTGCACAGGGGGGTATATATAGGAGGGGGGAGAGAGAGAGAGAGAGAGAGATCTTAAACAACTCAAGAGAAGGAAGCATCTATGAAAAAGAAAGCTTGAAGAAATTTTGCTCACTTCATAAGAGTTCTTTTTTTTTATTTTTTTCTCTTTATTATATTTTAATTTAATAAGTTCTTTTGTTTGTTTTAATTAAGAATGAACTAATTTTCTTATTCTAGGGCTAGGATGTAATCTTTGAATTCATGACATGAGTTGAATGTAATTGAATTTCATATATTTTGTTGATTTTAATTTGATGATTTTTGTTTTCATCCTTGTAATTTATTGGCCATGAATTGCATATTTAAGATATTTAATGAAGTAAAGAAAGTTGAAGTTCAATATTAGTTCGTGAATTCATCAAATCTTGGTAGTGTAGTTTAGAAATAAATACACATTATTGTGACCTATATTCAAGATTCTACAAATCTTAATGAATTTATATTAATTTCTATAATCATGAAAATAGACATAAGATTAATATAGATGTAGTTGTTATACCTTGAAAAAGGGCATCATATACAAAAGGGAATTCAGTTATTACAATTAGCAAAAGATTAGTCCAAAAAACTATATTTAAATTTATGGAAGGAATTCATTTGATGAAATCTTACAGCTTATAAATTTGCATTTCTGATTTTAAATTAAAAAAAAAGAAATTTGCATTTCTTTATATAAATTTGAAATCTTATAAATAATATAGGAAATTGATGAATTAGTACTTAAACTACATCCTTCTGAATACAATACTTGAATTACCCTATTTTATATGCCACAATTGATACATTTATGGTAAAAATATCGGACGAATCAAAATGTAATGAGAAAGATATTTGAATATTCTTGTAAATAAGCATAAATTAGAGTATAATTAATAATTGATGATTTTAAAGTTGTTTTGCTCTTATAATAGCTTGTATATAACATATGTTTGGATTTCCTAGTTAATTTTGCAATTAGACAATCTATATTTATGTTCTTAAGAAAAACTTGTTGTTATAATTGTTACAGTCTCACTAACAACTAAAACGGTTAATCGGTTCAAATTGTTCAAGTCAATCTATTGACTAATTCTTGCAAAATTCTCATGCATTCATCACTAATAAATATAAATCAACCAATTCATTTAGTCATACCAAACAATCAACTAATTCATGTAGAATTCCAATTATGATAGATTAACCTAAGTCAATTCTTAGAATTGTCGATCTTAGATTTTATCATATGATTTATTAATTCTTTAAAGCATGCATGGTGAAGTGTGTGGGTTTATTTTAATTTTGCTATCAAGTAGGATATAAAAATTTACATTAAACACTTAAAATGAATACTTATTTAAGTCTTCCTTTGCTTGCTTTTTTGAATGCTTGATTGATTTTTTCACGAAATCCATCATGGTTGTTTTTGTATTCTTGAATAAAAATGTTTAAAATTTATTCTCACCAAGGCATATTATTAATCCATTTTTATTTTATTATTATAATTAAAATATATAAAAATATAAATATTTGATTTAAAGGTCAATAATTAGGTTTTAATGAATATGACGATATTCTTTCAATTATTCTTTCAAATTTATGTAACTAATGCTATTTAATTTTTTATTTTTGTTGGGTTCAAATAAAGGAGAACTATGGGGAAATTGTTAGTAGAATTTGATTTTTTTGGTTGGCTTGAAATGATCAAGAATTGTTTAGCAATAAGTTATAAACATGATTTTAGTGAGTTTTTTAAAATGTAATGACTTTGTGCAACAGTAAGATTGTGATTTTTTCATGAAAGTTGTCAATGGTAAAATTGTGGTTTTTTTGTTATTTTTGTTGATTTTTATTTTGGTGTCAAAATGAAGGATGTAAAGTGTATTGAAGTTATTAAAGCTCCCGAGGGGAAAAGTAATTTACTAAACTATGAAGAAAAAGTGAAAAATGAAAAGTAATTATCCCTTTCTCTATATATAAAGCTAATTATTAGTACTTGTATTACTTATTTCTTTTATATATAAAGCTAATTATTAGTATTTGTGTTCAACCTTATTTCTAATTAAGAAAGATACTAAAACACTAATATAATTCTTAAAAAGAGTTTGATTTCATTCATTTATAAATTTAGGCCTAGCAAAACTTTATTTTCACTAGTAAAATTATAAAAATGGTTAAAAAGAAGTCAAATAAAGCCAATGATTCAAATTTAAAAGACAAATCAAGATTTAGAAGTATTAACTAATTCTTTTCTAAAATATTCCAAGAGAGTGATGTACGGTATATTAAGTAATTTTAGATTATATATAGTTTTCATGTAATCTTGTATTAATCATAGGCAATTCATCATATCATCAATTATGTATATTTACCTTTATAATGAATCTAGACTTGGTAGCTATATTTTACAATTGTTCTCAATAGACATAAAAATAAATATTTTCTCTCATTTCTTTATCTCCCTAAACTTTCCCTTGAGAAACCAAGCTCCGTTTACCAATACGTAATCTCTCTACGGCACTTCCTCTTTACCATAATGAGTTTCCCAATTTCTCCTTCCTCTGTACTGTCAATGGAAGAGGTTATGATCTTTGAAACTAGAAAGACTAAGTTATCATATCGCTAAAACTACAAGGACTAAATTACCATTTACCAGATTATCTTTAACCAGGATATTGTAAAATCACCCTCCTACCTCAAACGGTTTCAAAGCAAGATTAATTAAAGAAAATAGGAAGAAGACAATCAATGACCTTTGAAAGTCTTTACGAAGTCTTGGTAAACCATGGAACAGGATGGATGGTACAACGTGGTCCAGGGGTTAAAACAGAAAAATGATGCCATTTCCCATTAGCGTACTTTTCCTGGTATCCCAAAATTTTCAAATACCTGTCTGTTGGAAATTTCTGCTTCAATTTGCACTTGACTGACTAAAACAACTTTTCAGTCAACGTACCAGAGCCAACCATTGCCATAACCCTGTCAAGAGTCATGTACTATCTAACCCCTCTTCCATTAGGCCATTACCACACTACCCTGTTTCCTTGCAGCATTCCACGCCCAGAACAACCACCACCGTCACCCCCTTCTAATTCCTCCACCAATGCACCCCCTCAGCACCGCTGCTGCCACCTCCTTCCTTTCCACCCTCTTATTGTTCCTCCACTTAACGGCATCATCTCCTTCGAATGACATGAGTAATCTTTCAAACTGCAACCAAACATTCTCTTGTGGTGCCCTCACAGACATCACCTACCCTTTCACCGGTGGCCAACGTCCATACCACTGCGGCCCGCCGGAGTTCCGGCTCAAATGTGATGGTGAATCAGTAACCACCCTCATAGTTAAATCACTGCCTTACCGAGTCATTTGGGTTGACCAAACCACCCAAACCTTAAGGCTCTCATGTTTAGACTTCCACGATGACCGTCCATGCCCCGTCCCATCCAATTGCACCACTTTTGATAACGTTATCTTCAGCCTTGCCTCCAACCATGAAACCCTTACTTTCTATTATGGGTGCAAGAACTTAGGTGGCTCTGTCGAGGAAAACTCTAAGTTCTCATGTCCCATGCCAGGAGATTCAGAAGATGGGTTTTTCGAGGTTGGTGATCATCCTCCTGTGGACCGGTACTGGTGTCGGACTAGTTTTCAAGTGCCATTTGTCCGGAGTTGGAAACAACAACTTCAGGCTGATGGGTCATCATTACTTAGTAAGGTTTTGAAAGAAGGGTTTGATGTCAGTTATAGGGATCCTTACGGTGCTGATTGTCAGAAATGTTCCAAGCATTCTGGTAGGCAATGTGGGTTTGATGGTAATCCTATTTGCATCTGTAATGATCACCTCTGTCCTGGTAAGTTAAAAATCGATATTAATTTTGACTTGCCAAAGTCTTCTAGTTTCCTTACGAGTTTGGTAGCTTTCAAGAAATGCTAGGCCTTCTTGTGGTAATTGATATGGAGGTTTTTTTTTTATCAAATTATGCAAAGCTTCAATGATTTCAAGAATTAATGCTTGAATTGCTTGCAAGCCTCACAAGTCCAGTAGCTTTATTTACTGGTAGTGAATAATAAGTTATAGCATTCATTCAATGTTCATGTTAAGAGGTTCAATGTTCAAAATTATGCTTCTTAATTTGCTTGAGTCTGTGTTCAATTCTATGGGGTTATCATTTGAACTCAACAATATGATCCCTTTCTTCTTTCATCACATGTTAAATAATTGTCGTTTAAGCTCTGCTAAATTATTTTGCAATAATTAATGCTTATTTCTCTACTAGTTGCGGTCAGTGATAGGAAAAAGTTGCGCTCTTCAACTACTCAGAAGGGTTTTCCCCTGCTTTTTTTCTGTTATTACCCACCACTTTTTCTTGTTTCTCCATGGATGACCTGCATCCTTTACTGTGGCCGTTGTTTAGGCCCATAGCCTGTGTGTCCATAATCTGACTGAATTCCTGAATTAGTTTGTATTTAACAAATAATAATTAAGATAACCACAATCATATTTTAGAAGTTTCTTGCTATCTGATCTTGCTAACAAGTCCCAAATTTGTTCCAAACTTTTTATTCATGCTTCAACTGATGCTTCTCGCTCTCGTGAATTATGCAGCGAAGTCTAACCGAAAACCACTTATAATAGGTACAACTCTGCTACATTACTGTATTAAATCAGCACTGAAAAGAAAAGCTGAGGAGTTTTTTTTTTATCATTTCCAGGAGCCAGCTTGGCAAGTGGAGCACTTGTCATCTTTGTGGGATGCTGGATCATAGTTGTCAAACAAATGAAGAAAAGAAAATCTGCCCTAGTGCAAAGCGAAGGCCTTCCTGCAGTTACACCTACTTCAAGCAACGGCCTTGCTACTTCAATTAATTTCTTTCGAACTACTCCTCTTGCCAACTTAAAGTCTGACCTTGATAAGGGCAGTACCTATCTTGGAGTCAGGGTGTTCAGCTACAACGAACTCGAGGAAGCCACTAATTGTTTTGATTCTTCAAAAGAACTTGGAGATGGAGGGTTTGGCACTGTTTACTATGGTTAGAAGATGAAATTATTTTATTTTGCAGTATAGTAACTTTGCATATATTAACTTCTTTGTTGACTCCTTTCTAAAGTTTTAACGTAATTGCTTGAATGATAAGGAGTACTTAGGGATGGGCGTGTGGTTGCTGTCAAGCGCCTATATGAGAGCAGCATGAGACGTGCTGAGCAGTTTATGAATGAAATTGAGATCCTAGCTCATTTGCGCCACAAGAACCTGGTGGAACTCTATGGATGCACCTCAAGGCATAGCCGAGAGCTTCTACTTGTTTATGAATACTTGCCTAATGGAACTGTCGCTGATCATCTTCATGGAAGACAGTCGAACTCTGGTTTGCTCACTTGGCCTGTTCGGTTGAGCATTGCTATAGAGACAGCCAGTGCACTTGCATACCTCCACGCTTCAGATGTCATACATCGTGATGTCAAAACCAATAACATTCTCCTAGACAACGACTTCCATGTGAAAGTGGCTGATTTTGGTTTGTCGAGATTGTTCCCAACTGATGTAACTCATGTATCGACTGCTCCTCAAGGGACGCCTGGTTATGTTGATCCGGAGTATTATCAATGCTACCACCTCACCAACAAGAGCGACGTTTACAGCTATGGCGTGGTCTTGATTGAGCTGATATCAGCTTTAGAAGCAGTGGACATCACTAGGCATCAGCATGATATTAATTTGTCCAACATGGCAGTGAAAAAAATCCAAAACCATGCTTTAAATGAGTTGGTTGATCCATTTCTTGGATTCGATAAGGATTTCGTGGTAAGGGAGATGGTATCTTCAGTTGCAGAATTAGCTTTCATGTGTTTGCAACATGAAAGGGAAATGAGGCCAACTATGGAAGAAGTTTTGGAGGTATTAAGAGGAATTGAGAGAGAAAATTATGGAGCAGGGAAAGGAGGTGTTGAATGTTAGGGACGATGATGTTGGCTATTGAAGCATGCTCCTCCCCCACTTCAACTTTCACCAGACTCCACGACAGATCAATTTTGGGCTAGCAGTTCTTCAACTGTAACACCTCATTCCTACTAGCAGTTGATATTCTCTAGTCCTTTTTACGAAGAAATTTTCAAATGTCCTACAAATATCCCATATGTCAATGGTTTTGAGGTTTATTAATTATCCTTTCTTTGTATGGTGTTGATTTGTTGTTAATATGCAAAAAATGTGACGAACGCCACTGTAGAGGCTTCCAAGGCAATTACGTGGTAGTTCGAATAAATAGTTTTAAAAATAAAATTATTTATATCATTGAATTCTTCTTTTAATATTAAATTTATTAACATCAAAATCAAAGTTATAGATAACAGAATCTTGTCAATTTTTTTAACGGCTTTCTCTAGAGACTAAAGTATAATAAAAAGAGTTTAGGGCCAAAATATAGTAACCTAAAAGAATAGAGATAAAAAATAGAAGTAAAGTAAAACTTAAGAGATTAAATAGAACTTTTTTGCGCTTTTATGAAAAGTCCTTTTGTTTCTTCTTTATCTTAATCTTGGTTTTTTTATCTCTCAATTTAGTTTTAAAAAGAAAATTAAAACTTTATTTTATAAAATTTATCATTAATTTAATGTTGCAACATTTAACAACACATTAGGTTAGTGAAGGAAAACATATTATTTAAGCACATAAAACATGGAGACATAACTTCAAACGATGCAATTGAAAAGAAATAAAGAGTAGTGATCAAATTGTAAAAACACCAAACTTGAGGGACTAGATTGTAAAAAAAACAAAAAAAATGCATAGTCATTAATAGTTTTTGTAAGAGCGTGAACAGTTTTCCTAGGCAAAAAATGAACACCTAGGATTTCTCTCTTCCACTTATAAAAAAAATAAAAAAATAAATAAAGTTGAAGGGTGATTTACCATGTACATACAACTCATTATTCACAATAATAGTGTAATTGCAATTTTACCTTTTAAAAAAAAAACCACATGACTTTGTGTTTTAGGTATTTTTATTTTTTAAATGGACTATTAGTCATTAAAGATATGACTTTTATAACGTAATAAAATTATATAATTACCCTTTCAGCCATATTTTTAAAACTTGCTAAGAGGTGTGTTTATCTTTCCATTTGTAAAAGTATAGCTAAATAACATGCTTACCCTTTGTATAAAAAAAATCAAACCATGCATCTAGGGGCTTTTAATCTTTTCACACTATTTCTTTCTTCTTTTTTTTTAATTCCATGACTACCGAGAGCAATTTATCTTTCAAGGTCAATTAATTAATTTCTTAACACGAAAATTTATGGGGCATGTGAGAGCGACGTGCAACTTTTATCCTAATAGAAATTTTATTTTTTTTATTATGTTTTTAGATGCGTTATCATGTTTTTTTTAATGGTATAGCACATATCAGTAAAAATAGAGTGTTTTTTTTTTTATCTTTTTTTCTCTTGAAAATATATATATATTTCAACTTCAATCTTTATTCTTTTATCTCTAGTTTTTGTTATTGGTCCTTTTATAAAAGTCTTTATTATTTTTAATTTCATCATTCAATTCTAATTTGTGATGTATTATTTTTTAGATGTAGTACTTATGTTTTTTATTTCTAATTTTTTTCCCTAACCTTTTTATAATAAAAATTTTATTGATTTTCAGTTTCATCCTTCATTCCAAATTTATGGTATATTTTTTTTAATTTGATTCGAATTATTTTAATTTTATATTCTTTTGTTAAAATTATTTTTGTTTTCAATTCAACCCTCAAATCAAAAATTTATAATTTCCCACTAATTTATTTTTTATTTCTATTTTCACCCACATTCTTTTAATAGCAATTTGTTTTTGGAATTTATTAATTTAATAGCGATTTGTTTTTGGAATTTGGACTTTGTAGTTTTTCATGTATGTTGCTTTCAGACTTATTATTTAATTCATGAATTTGAAAAGTTAGCAAAGATAGGTTTTTTTTTTACTTATTTTTTTCTTATTTTATTTCTCAATGTTAGTTTTTACTTCAAATAAATTTGGTTTTATGATTTTTTTTAATTTTTTTCTATCAAGTTATTCCAAGCTCGTGATCCCATATAGGTTTGGCAATCTATAAGATGAAGTAATTGAACAATTTACCTTGTACAAAGATCTTCTTTTAAAAAAATTGTCTCTTAATCCCCTTTTTCATGATCTCCCTCTACCTCATTTTGCATAATTGATACTGTTCTCTAGCCGATGCAGGTTTAGAGTCCAAAATCCCAGCAAATCCAAAAAGAAAAAGGGTCATAATTAGATTATTGCATACGCTATTAAAAGAAATTAGAAACAGAATCATACTTCGTGTGCTGTCCTTTATTTTTATTTTATTTTGCCTTCATGGATTCTTAACTCTTCACTGCCAAAGATAGATTATCACTTTTCACTGTCGAAGAATACCAGAAAACAGACAGGAAGAAGAAAATAAAAGAGAAACAACGTAGAAAGTAAAGAGAAAAAAAGGGACTCTGGGAGAAGACTCGTTGCTGTCACTTCTTCGAAGAATTATTTCTGCAAATAATATATACTTAGTCAATAAACAACAAACATGATTCATTCATTATTATTTAATTCCGAGATTAGATTTAACAGTTCCTGAACTTGTTTTTGGCAATTATCATGCCAACACTAAATTCTCAGTATTTTGATGAAAACTATTAAGTGAGGACAAAAGCAACCGTCCATCTCCCTTCCCCTCTACAAAAGACAAACACAACATTATTTATTAATCTGATATACTTTGGACTTAACCAACATGAGATTAGATCATACAAAGTAGCAGCATTACATGCAATTTTCCATGGCCTCAAGCTCTCTTAATCCCATCATCATTAGCCATCGCTAAAACAAAAACACAATTCCATCTCTCACGCTCTACTCCTTGGACTCATTCACTAGCATCAATTCCTATATACCGAAACCTCCCCTTCTCCTCCACTTGTCATCACATAACAAATACTACCACCCACCCTCCAAATCCAGACAAACAACAGCATACAATTTAAGAGATTTTTAGATCATAGTAAGTATCCTTCTTCTTCAAGAACGGCAAACAGCATAAACCCGAAGAAAACCCAGATGGGTTAAATAAATTAGATCTCAAGATTGTATAGAGAGTGAGAGAGAAAGTGGGGTCTTCTTGTTTTCGTTGATTAATGGCGACGCTGCATAAATTCAAGCTATTAGCTACACAATGTGCAGTGACAGCAACACCAACGCAAAGTCCAACAACAAGTCCCGTCTTCCACATCCGCCGCCGGAGGAAGACTCTTCGGATGCTACTTTCAAAGAACTCCGATGTTCGCCGGAGGATTCCACGGCGAGAAGATGAATCGGAAGGAGAGGAAGATCCGTTGCCCGAGAAGAGGGTGAGGAGGAAATTGAAGGATTTGTTTGTGTCTTCGCCGCCTTTTGAGGAGAAGGAGAGAAGGAGTGGTGAGCGTGGTGGCGGTGAGGAGGTGGGGTTGATTAGTGGTGGTGCAGCGGCGGTGAGGAGAGGTGGTGTCGGTGGCGGCGCGTTGAGACCGGTTGCGGCGTCGTTGAGATATAGATTGTTAAGGAGAGCTTGGAGACCTGTATTAGTTACCATCCCTGAGTAGTAAATTGTTTCGGAAAATTTGTACGGATAAATGGAATATTTTTGTTTCTTCTATTTTTAAATTTTGTGAAGTATTTATTTTTACTTGAGAAATTATATATATGATGCTTGTACGTAGAAATTGATTCTCAAAGAAAATTATCTCTGTTTTTTTTTGTTTTTCAGATTTTTTTTTTTAAAAAGGATAGTTTTAAACATTTCTAGAGAAATTTACAAAAATTGATAATTGTAGCAATTATTTAAATAATTGGACTTAATTTAGATTTAATTTAGATTTTGGTTGCTCAACCAGCCCGTTGCATCTAAAGTTTGGCTTCCATAGCAAGAGGAGGATTTATTCAGGTTGTCAATCTTTCACAATTGAATTTAAAAAAAGAAGAAAGATTAAGAGAAAAGATATTTATAATTACATTTAAATAATCTATGATATCAGAACTTGGTTGTCCTTCCCTTGCTACCAAACTCACATTTTTTTAAAAAAGAAGCAACATGTAAGTTTTGGTAGCAAGGGAAAGACATTTACAGGGCGTATGTTAGCATAACCGGCGCATTTTATCACAGAGTGCCAGGAAGAAGACGGCAGGGAGAAGGGTCAGGGGGATGCTTTATGAGAGCAATGAAGGTTCTAAAGAATGGATTGATTTGTCAAATAGTTTTTGTATATAGGGTGGGGTAGGAGCATTGAAGATGCCATAGATCATGTAGACAAATTGAAGACAGAGATATGATGGAGTTTAATAATTTTTAGTATAAAGTCTCTCTCAATCGCAGCTTCCATGTGTTGAACTGTTGATGATGCCAAGGGATTGTATTTAATTATATCAAGAAATTGTTTGATGGTGCAAGGGCTATGTGCTCGTATACTTGCTTTCAATTATTTGTTGACCCATGATGAAAATATGGATCATACTTATTTGTTGACCCATGATGAAAATATGGACCATACATGCATGGTGGTGATGCATGGTGGTGGTCCTTATTTAGTGTAAATTTATGCTTGGGGGGGGTAAATGATGATGTTTAAACACAAAGCTTAAGCATAATCATGTTTGGAGCTTGAGGGGTAACATGCCTAATTCAAATTTGATGCAATTCAGCTTTTAAAGACCCAACAAGCTTTGTTCATTTCTAGGGTCTTCAACAATGTAGATATATCTATGTGATTTTCAATAATAGTTTTCTTTCTTTAAGAAATCTTAGGAAGCAATATGTATACCATGTTTATTTGTGCGACTAATCGATGAGCTTTGTTCATTTCTAGGGTCTTCAACAACGTAGATATATCTATGTAATTTTCAATAATAATTTTCTTTCTTTAAGAAATCTTAGGAAGGACCATGTTTATTTATGCGACTAATCGATGTTTTTTTAATATATTTTCAAATTAAAAATATTTTTAAAAATAATTATTCTTGTAATATTAAATATATAACCAAAACGTGTTTTTTTAAAAAGAAAAACAATAAACAATATGAAGTTGGAATTTTAGGGCACATTGGGGTGATGGGTTTCATGCTATGGTTAATATCAGGCTTAACATAATGCATTTTCGAAGCGCTA